CTGCTTTAATGGCGTGCGCTCATTACGTATTCAAGCCCGTTAAATTCCTGATCAATAATTGCTTTTTAAGTAATCATTCTATCATTTGTTATGCAGCATGTTTCAAGAGAAATAGCTTGCTTTTCTTCCACAGACGTGCAGAACTAAAGAGCAACCAAAGCAGCCTTTCTGTGAGAGACATATTTATGGAAAGAGCAGTTTCTGGTTGCTGGATGGCATTCATACCCACTCCCCATCCCATTAAGATGTCTAGTTGTTGCTCTCCCAGTCGCTCACCTTGGGTAAAGGACAGCACTTCTATAGAAGGATACTGGAGACAAGACCCTCTTCCAGTTCGGGATGGCACAGCTTGCATGAGTGTTGCATGAAGTGCCCCATGACTATTTTAGGTTCATTAAACTCATTTCAGTGACATGAGTTAGCAGTGATGTGAGTGAACCTACCTTTCAAAGTGTTTTGTGCCTTAGTCTTTCATTTGCTTAAGTGGAAAACATGGGATCAGGTTCTCTAAGAAAGAAGAAAAAGCTTTGGTCTCAGTAGAGGATTGTACGTGTATCCATACGTTCTAACTCTTCACTATCTTATTGTAATGATTCAAAATATAGCCTGGTTTCTCATGCAATATATTTCCTACTGCATTTCTGTTTCTGATCACAGTTCTCTAAGAAAATGTTTGTTTATACCAGGAAAATGGTCAGCCAACGATAAGCATACAACCAATTGATTTTTCCTGTGCTAGTCAGCCAGTAGTAAAAATAATTTTAGTTGCTGACTTAGCAGCAAAAGAAACATTATTATTCCACATTTTACTATTACTGCTTGTAGTTAAGTAACTATAAAGACTGTTCTTGCCTGGCTGAAGTCGCCCAAAAGGCCCTTGTTGCTGACAGCTGTATGTGTGGCAGTTACTGTTGCTGACAACTGTGTTCACTGAGGTCAGTGGAAACACTCCCGTGACTTCATTGAAGCTTGAAATTGAGAAACCGAATCTAAGTTTGGATGCTTCTAAGACATCGTAGTGCATTGTCATCAAATCATTCAGCAAAACGTGTATGTATTTTAATGTTTGTTATGTAGTTATACTTGATTTTATGAAGACTTAATACTAATTGCAAAACAAATACTCTTCAGGCAGAAAAGCTGCATAGAGTCAGATCCGCAGTGCTTTAAAACTAGTGACGTTTTGCTACTGGGCTGTGAATTGGTTCTTACAAAATACGAACACAAAATAATGTAGATGATCGCTAAATTGCCATGTTACGGTCCAATATATCTCTCATCATCTTTTCAAACTACATTTGCTTCTAGAATAAAAGCAAAGTGTTCTCAAAGCAACTGTGAAAACAGGTGGACATTAATGAGAATCTTTTAGACTGAAAACAACAGGATCACATATCAAAAGGATCACATATCAACATGTGGAACTTGCAGCATGCCTAGAGAAATACTGTAATGGGGGCCCCGATAAGTTATGCCTTGAGCGATTAAAAACTGCCATGCTCCATGCTGACTTTCAGCATGCATCAGTGTTTAAAGGAATACCACCTTATAAAATATGTTTGCATTTTTGTAACCAAAATTGATTCTGAAATGTCACTTTTGGACCCAGACTTCACATTCTGGCAGTGCGCGGATCTATTTGATGTGACATGTTTGTTGCTATTTTTAACTTCTGTAATAAGAATTTAATCTTATTTGTTACAAACTCCATCATACTGAAGGCATTTGCATGCTTTATAGTATATAATAAATACTGCTGGTCAGTAGCTTACAAGCACTGTATTTTTTTCCCCTCCAGAATGCTACCAGATACGTAAAAATTCATGTTTTGTATTATATGAGAATGAAATATAAATAAAGCCATGAAACTACAGAAGAAACACTAAAAATAGTATTTTCACTAGTGCTGCTATAACAAAACGGAAATATTTTGTGATTAAAGGCTACTTAAATAGAAATTCAAAATATAAACGACTTTTTTTTTTTTTTTTAAATAATATTTAGATGCCAAGTAGAAATTGAAGTCCATATCCTGTCTGCTTCCCACGTACAATTCAAAAGCAGGACATGAACTACTGAAAACAAAGTAAAATAAACAAACAAATGTTACTGAGTTAACTACACCATGTTTGCTCCTGTTGTGCAACAATTTTACTTCACAGCAGCTCCATGATTTTCTTATTTGTGGAAAGGTTAGGGTGAGGTAGAAACGTGCAACCCTCTTTTGTAACTTGCTTGTGGCTCTAAAATTGAAGTCACCGAGCAGGGGAGAAGGCAAGCAACTGAGTGAATGTGATTTCCAAGTTCAGCGCAAGTACATACAGATAAGTATACATTATATCCCAAATAACAGCCTGATTATGCAAGTAAGCGGAATCTACAGGCAAATCTGTACATACATACCTTAGGAATTTTCACGAGTATACCAAGAAGTTCCTAATTCACAAATTGGCATGGCTCCCCAAGTAAAGGTGCTCAGTGGATAGCTGTGGTTCTTGTGTACTGTATACTAGTTTAAGTTCTGCATAGCTGTTCTACTTTATTCTGTTTTTGCTCCAAGCTCTTAGTTTTGATAGGCGTACCACAAAGTCTCTCACGTATCTTTATTCTACTTGTCGTTATAACTTTGTCAACTGTCTTCCTTAATAGCCGAGATGCCCAGACAGTTTCCAAAGCTGAACATCTCTGAGGTTGATGAGCAAGTGCGACTTCTAGCAGAGAAGGTGTTTGCTAAAGTACTCCAAGAAGAAGACAGCAAAGATGCCTTGTCACTGTTCACCGTGCCTGAAGACTGCCCTATTGGGCAGACAGAGGCCAAGGAAAGGGAACTGCAGAAGGAACTGGCAGAACAACAGTCTGTGGAAACAGCTAAAAGGTTTGTTCAGAAGTTGCTTTCTTCGTGGAAAATATTTTTTAAAATGAGTCTGAGTTAATACTGAAATATCTGGCAAATAACATTCTGCCTGTTATTACTTCAGGAGAAAGGTGAACAGCAGGTACCGAGGGCACCTGTGTGATGTCCTTCTGTGCTGTGCAGAAGGTGTGAAGAAGCGAACGCAGCTCTAAGACTCTTTAATGTAAAAGGATTCAGAAAAATAAATGCTCCCCCCTCCCCCCTCCACTTTATTCTAGTTTCATTCAGAGAAATGGATAGTGGTATGATACTTCTTTTAGTCTCTGTAAAAATAGATGAAAGCAAAAACTTGGCATTTAACATCAAGGGAGAAGGTGAAAAGTGGTATTGGCATAATGAGGTTATTCATAGGTTTCTTTAAATCACAGAGATAAAATCTAACTACTGTCAGCCACAAAAGTGCACATTTTGAGTTTTCTCAAAAAAAAAGTACAGTCCACCTTTGGTTTACTCATGAATCTAATGAAGCCAAACTTGGTTTATGATTTTCTTCTGAAAGAGAGGTAGCCTTACCCTGATGTCAGGCTGTTCCAGAATCTTGACTTCAGTGGACTGGCTAGACTATTCCCTGGAGTTACATGAGCTCAGCAGCAGTCTGACACGAAATGGCTTGGACGTGTACAGACTCATCAAAAACCAGGCAAACAAGGCAGCCTTTGAAAGTGGTAGCTAAACACGTGTACCCAGTTAGCTGCAGACAATCAGTTGGGCAACGCTTGGCATCGTATTTCTGGAACGGAAGGGAGAAGAGTCAATTTAGTTAAATTAAGGTATGACACACTGATGATAAAGGCCAAGACTTTTGGGTTTGAATTGTGCAAGTGGGTTTCCCAGTTGGCATGTCCATAGATAAAAACAAGCACAGAAGGGAAAACTACATGTTACCATTTGTACAACTATTTGGTATATCTTTCCTCCTCAACTAATAAGTTTCACTTTTAATTTGGGAAACTGTCTTATAGAAATATGTTCCATCAAACTGTGTCTTTGTGTACCACAAGTTTCACTGTGGGAAGTGGGATATTATATGTGTGTTGTTTAGATGTGGGAACAGAACAAGTCTTCATCCCTGTCCTGCAGGCCTGAGGTGCACTTCAAGGACAGTTACATGAGGAAAACTTCTGTTTTCAGTCACAGTTGATCCAACGCTGCCTTTTGAGATTTTCATACTGATTTCAAAGGTGGCTACAAGTGCTTAAGAGAGGACAGAATTTGGTCATAGGGTATTAATCGTACCACCACTGCATGTTCTTATTCTTCAGAATGTCACAGAATATGCAACTTCCAGAGAGTGTTCCAGTGTTCCTTTTTCTTTTTTAGTGGTTCTTTATTTATTATATGAATATTTAAAGTACATTTAAATGTGTTTAAAGTGAGTAAAATATTTAGAGTTATTATGAAACTTCACTTGAGGTATTACAATCACTTCACTGAAAAATACAGCATTCTTTAGCTGGTTTGTCTATGTGCTCATCCTTTTTCTTACAAAACTGAATGACTATATATATGACATTTTGCTGCACAGTCTTGTCTGACAACTAAACGAGTTTTTAAATGCTACATGTTTTGGGAAGAATGAAAAATGTGTGTAATGGCATGATAACAGCTTACCGTATGTAACATTCACTTGTTTCTGTCTGATACATTGTGAATTCTGCTGTAATCAGTTTTCCAGTGTGTTTAGTGTTTTATACCATGGCTTATTTTATGTTTTATACCATGAATTTCTAGGAAGAAAAGTTTCAAGATGATTCGATCCCAGTCTTTGTCGTTACAAATTCCATCTCAGGAATGGAAAGCACCATCAGCCAATCCTATTCTGTCACCTGCAACACCAGTTCTTCCAAGTGCTTTTCTGCCAGCCCAAGTGCCATATGATGTACCAGAGTTTCAGAGAGTTTCAATTAGTGGGGACTACTGTGCAGGGGTAAGAAACCATTTTCTCTCCTTTCTGTATCTAGAGGGGAAAAAAAAATCCCAAACTACAAGCAGCTAATATAGATAAAGAGTGAAGTGGCATTATATTATGGAATCACAGAATGGGTTGGGTTGGAAGGGACCTCAAAGATCATCTAGTTATGGCTGTCTGCAACAAACTGTAAATTGCTTTGTGAACACGTTGATTTGTAAAACAGTTCAAGTCAAGGTCAGGTAATTTTATATTTTTTACCATAAAAAATAAATCAAATAGATGAAAGCATAATCACACATTAATTAAATGGGTAGTATATGGTAGGAGAAAAAAAAAAGTGTGTTTGGCGTATTGTATTTGGATTGTGCTTCTGTCACTGGCCTCCTCAGACCTTGAGTAAGATCCTTATGGTCAAGACACATACGCTTACATTCCTGGCAATTCAGTCTCCTTGTTACTGGTGCGGATTCAGTTTGTTGCTAAAAGTGCTGTTTTATTTTTGCCAGTATTTATCCAGGCTTTCCTTTCAGGTTACAGTTGATGATTATGAACAAGCTGCCAAGAGCCTGGTGAAAGCTCTTCTCATTCGAGAAAAGTATTCACGTCTTGCCTACCATCGCTTCCCAAGAACAACATCTCAGTATTTGTGTAGCATGCGAGGTGAAAAATGGAAGGTTGAAGATGAAGTGTATCCAGGTGAACATCCTTGTTGTTCTTTTTAAAACACAGAATTAAACCCACACACTGCTGTAGTAAAAGTAAGTTAGATTTTTGTGATGATCTCCTCTGAGTGTCTTTGCCTCTGTAATTTATTCTGTTAGTAAGAGGTGGAGAATCACTGATGGACCTAAGTTAGACTTGTGTGTAATTGGAAACTTCAAAGCTGTCAAAAGTTAAAAACATACTAGACACTCATTGATTACTTTTTTTTTCAGCAAATGAGATGGAGGAAAAAGATCTATGGATATGGTTTAAAGCGAACAGTCATTCCTCCTGGTCTTGGCATACTGAAATAAAAGGGGTTGTGAGCTCATCTACATTGTAAATTGAAGCACAATACAGACATGCCAGTTATCAAGCCCTGAGTCAGTAATTTCACAAGCATGGTACACTTACCAGGTCAAGACTGGAAGTTGTATAGTCGTATTTGTTGGGCATTCTGCCTGGGTTAATAAACTCTGATCTCTCAACAAAGCTTATTAGGTTGAACATACTCCCCACTATTTATGTCACAAATGATATTGGAACTTAGGTGGTTTGTGTCTTGAAAGCTTTGCTTATGCATTAAACAGTTTGCACTGCTAGTTTTCGGATTAGCCTTTGAGGAGCAACCTTTGGTCTCTACAGATGTGCCACTGTAGATGTGTCCATATTGTCCCTCCCTACAGCAGGGAGGTTGGAAATAGATGATCTTTAAAGTCTCTTCCAATCCAAACCATTCCATGATTCTATGATTGTTGGCAATGTATTCTCAGCCATAAAGGGACATTTTAAATCAATTAACTTCTAGCTCAGTGGTTGAAAGAGGGTGAATTAACATGTTTTCAAGTCTTTGTTATACAGAAAGAGGGTAAAGAGGACAGTATTCTGAATATTCAAGATAGGAAACATATTTTGAAACAGCTGCCAGTGAGATATTTCCAAGCTATTATTAGGCTAATAACTTTTTTTACAGTTACGATTTTAAACTTATGGCAGACACAATAAAATCTCATTACACAATGTCTTAATGAGCACAAGTTTGAGCTGGATAGGTATGAATATTAGAGATAAGAATGGTATCAGTTTATAACATATACATTCAGGTGCTCTAGGTGAATAAAAGGACTGGTTAATTACTTTTCCACCTTGGCTTAACTGAACAGGTAAAAGAAGAAATCTCACTGGTAAGACTGAGCCCGGGAATGTAGTTCAGTTGACACAAATGTAGTTGAGACACTTATTTTATTCTAATTGCATTAGTAAGATATTGTAAAAAAAGCTATGAACATTCACTAGCATGAGTGACAATGTCTGAATGTTCACATAAGCTGAATCTCCCAGAAGTATATATGTTTACCTGATTATCAGAAAAAAAAATACTGTAATTTTTTAAAGGGATTACAAAACTGTACTGAATAAATCCCAACTGTGCTTCTGGTACTTCCTAATTTCAGTCACGATCAGAAGGCCAAGGGGACACTATCGCTGGCTTCTGCACTTCTTGGTTCTATTCAAAAGCAATTAAACATAAAAATAAGGAGTTTTACTTAAAAAACCAAACAAACAAAACACAAATGAAACATCCCCCAACCAAAACACAACAAAACCAACCAACCAAATCCCTCGAGAAACTTACAAACCAAGCACTGCCTTGGTCAGAGTGAGAATCACTGAGTCCTAAATTATTTCCTGCTCTACCATAAGTGAAATAAATTCATGAATGGCTGAGAGAAAGAGGAAACAGTCCTAGTATGTATGCACTAGTCTAGCTCGTTGGAGTATGAGGAGGGCAGAGGCGAAGAAGTAGGGCACAGCCTGTTCTTTTCTGACTGATGCTTCACTATGAGAACAGCTGCATTACTGTGTGCTTAAATATAAACTTCCAAAATTACTACAGTGAGTCAGAAGGTGAAAAGAAAATAACGAAGGTGGGTATGAAGTCAACAACTGTGTTATTGTTCAAAAATCTTAACTGTACTTTGAACCATCCTAATTTAAATACTCCTGGAAACTTATTTTGAAACTTGTGTCATCATACATTAATAAAGAGTAGTATTAAATCTATTTATACATTGGTTCAGAGAACTCTAATAACATATAATACTTGAATTAAGGTAGGCACTTAGCTTAGAGAGGGACTGCAATTAAAGCCTGTCAGAATAAAGCTATGTTGTAACAACAAATCTTTTATAGTAACTGAAAATGTGATTTCAGTGAAAGTATTAAGATCTGTTAAAAATGAAGCATTATAGAAGCAGAAAGTCCTTTTTGTAATTATTCTGCCTTTTGTGTTGTTACTTCTAAATGTAATGTAAATTTATTTCCAGAATTCCATTCACCCCCAGAAGAAAATGAAGATCCTTACAATCTCGATGATGCTCCAGACAATTTGGATTATGTTATCAAGATAAAAGGTGGCATTCCCTTTGTTTATGATAACAAAGAAATGATGGAACTCAATGAGCCTCGGAGTCTGCCATATCCTGACCTGGAGACCTATACCCTTGATCTGAGCCATGTTCTTGCTCTAATTGCAGATGGTCCAACGTATGTTTCTCTTTCTTCTCTGCCCCTTCAGGCTGCTGGTTGCCTTTAGTTTAATACCTCTAACTTTTTTGGTACTTAATTCCTCAAAGTACTCATTCTACTGTAATGTTTTGGTTTACTCTTCTCAAGTATTAATGCATCACAGAAAGACTTAAAAGGGAAAAAGAAAACATGGCTATATTTCATTTCTTTAGTTTCTTTGTGTCAACCATGGCAAAATGAGAAGCAGTTAACAGAAAAGCAAGAAATTGGCCAAATATTCCCATTCAGTTAAATCTGACTTAAAATTCTTGAGGCACAGGAACTGAAACTTGAACCTTACCTTTTTTTGTTTGGCCTATGCTGAATTGAGGTTTTTGAACAGTTGTCTGGAACTCCTTCATGTTTGCTCTTCTCTCGCTGCATGAAGAGAAACTGCATATGTAGAGCATGCAGAACAGAACAGCTCAGCAACATAAATATTCAGTCTGATTTGTTCCAGATGTGAATTAACTGCTCAGGTGCTGGAAAACTGATCCACGCATGCACAATTAAAATAGGTCTGAAATTTCCCAGAATCGTCAAACTCTTGGGAAATCTCTAAAACCCAGAAAAATAACAACTCTAGTGCAGTTGCTGACACACTTACGACAAAGCAATGTCCTTGCCCAGTGCATAATGAAAACATGTGCGTCCAGTTTTTAAGTTTATTTCCCAGCTGAGGACTGGAAACATTAAGGTTTCTCATGGCCTCAACACCAAGAAAGGAAAAGAAATCACCCTAGGATGGAACAAAACAGGAACCTGGATTGTTCTTCCGAACTATTTGCCCCGCTTGCCAGCACTGCATTCCTGTCCTTCTGCCTTTGAGAGGTCATTTACAATGGGACAAGTTAGTCACACCTGATGCATTCTTTCCCCGTGGAGTCTGACACCTGCAGCATTATCTGTCTGCCTTGCGCATTGATAGTGGCAAAGCAGGTGGGTTGAACGGAACTGTCCCATTCCTTAAGCACTTTTTCAAGAGCAAGAGCCTGTGCTTCCACCAGCATGATCAGCGCTCCTGCTTACAATCTGAGCTAGCTTGAGTATACTCGTTTACAGTATGCAATGCGTAGATGCATTTCCAGTTCCAGCGTGTGATATTCCAAGAGTCATATATTGAGAGGATTAAAGGATAAGGAAGAAAAACTTGAAACAAAAGTTATACTGAAGACCCTTCTTTTTGCAGCTTTTTTTTAACAGTCTTTGTCAAGAAGCCTTAAGAAGGGCCTTGGTAGGACATATTGGAGCCCTCAGCACCTTTGAGAATGTAGGAGCAATCATCTGCTTCTTTCACTTCTTCAGGTTAAGCTTTTGCAGGCTGATTCACACTCTGATAAATACACACAAACCAAAAGGAAAAAGTATTTTCAGTAATCCTGTTGCATAAGGTCTTCGTATGGTATTGTTTCCTTGCTTGCAAGGAGTGCTTTCCTGTCATTTAAGTCTATCACACGTGGGGCTGCTTGGAGATCAAGAACCCATTGTTCTTTAGTCTTTGCTGTTCTCACCTCTGCTCCTCAGTCTTCTGGCCTCTTGAAATAATAGTATAACCCTACAAAGACTTCCTGCGGTGGGCAAACAGGTCTTGACCAGTATCGGATACAGTGAGACTGTTTGAATCAGAGTTTCAAATCCATTACAGGATTTGTGTTCCATTGAAGAGAGCTTGTCAACAATAAAGCAGAAAAAAGAAGGCTGACTATTATGTTAATAGTGCTACAAAAATATTGTAGATTCAATAAGAAGTGACAGATGGTGAAGAGAAAAACCATGTCATTGGTTAAAAATAGAATGGGAAACATAACAGAAGATGAAAGTGAAGACAGGAGTAGGCAAGCAGGAACAAAAAAGCATGATTTTTCTAAGAGCAGAAGAAATTATTTTGGAAAAAAGTATTTCTACACAATATATGTGGTTTTTAAGGCATCATAATTGAAATATCAAAAATGAAAGTATATTGGATCTTACCTTGGTTTCTTATATTCACATTGTAAAAGCAAAGACACTTTGGGGAATTTTTTTTTCATTATTTCCACAGTGAGTAAGTCTGGATTAGAGTTGTTTCTGTTACATATGAGGTGATCTGCTCTATTGGAGATACAGTTTCAGAACAGTAGAAATTGACATCACATTTTATTATAGGTTTTATGCTTTCTCTGGTCATCATTACTAAAAGAACTGCAGTTGATGCACAGACACAATGGTAACAATACTTGGACAATTTAAAGGGCATAACGTGGTTACGTAGAGTTCTGTTTGAGGTTTCACTAATAATGCTGGTCTGAAATCATTGCATATTGACTTGTCTATTTGTTAACAAGATAAGAATGGATTGGTCTTGGTCATCATAAAAGAAATTATTTGTTTTTACTGGGAAAACTTTTCAGTTCTTTATAAACTTGAAATACAAATAGTTTTAAGTTACAGTTAATTTTCGTATTTTCTTTTACAGAAAAACATATTGTCATCGGAGGCTTAACTTTTTAGAATCTAAATTTAGTTTACATGAGATGTTAAATGAAATGTCGGAATTTAAAGAACTAAAGAGTAATCCCCATCGAGACTTTTATAATGTGAGAAAGGTAAGTGTGAAAAGGATTAAAAGCATGACATTGTTTTTAGTAGGAGTTCCAGTAATTTTGCTTTTCTTGTGTGAGGTGTAGATGATACGCATGAAGTGGTGTGTGCATACCACTCAATTGAAATATGATATTTTACAAATATTAACATTTTTATACATGGGAACACTCCAGGAAAATTAACTTGAATGTAAATGGGTTAAATGGATTATGCTAAACTCATCTGTTTACTTATTCGGAATCAAAGCAGCTAAATCGTACGTAGATTGCTTTAACGGAGTGAAACAGAGTCAATCAAATGAAGCTCACTTGGATGATGAATAAAAATATCGACATGGATGGTTAATTAAGTTTAATTAATTCACTTAAAGATAGTCAAGTGCATTTTCCAGCTTTCATGTAGGTAAGTTATACTAGACAGCAGCAAGAAGAGCTGCATAGATTTTGGACAAAAATTTCACTTCATATGGAAAATACGTGTTTAAATACATGTCAAAAGAACAAAGACCTCTCACAGAAACTGAACTGAGGGTTCATGCTGCCATCAGTATCAGTAAAAAATGTCTGTGAAATATTAAGTAAAAAGTCTGTTACTTGAGTTATATTCTTAGCACTTAGATACACTGGGATGTAATTAGGAGACAGGTAGGGGAATCAAGGAGCTGATTTAATTTCCTGACATACTCACACACAAGGGAGCTTTGTTCAGTTCAAAGCATGGACGCAACAGTGTTATGCTGCTTCGTTTGCTTCCTTTTCCTGAAGTTAAGAGGAAGTTACTGGAGAGATAATGCTTCAGTTTGATAGGTGAGATTTCTTCACAAAGCAGTAATTGTTGCTGGTGGTTTTAACCACTTCAGATCCATTTTGCATTGTTTCTAGATCCAACTGGAAGAGGTAGTCCTTATTTTGTAACTTTGTAACTTAGATCAATACTTTAATCCTTATTATGTTTTGGTTTGCTAGTACATCAGAAAGTCCCTTTGGCATTTCCCTGTAGTGTCCAGTGTGCTGGTACTGACTGTTTGCTACTGTTACAGTAATAAACTGTCAAATACAAATTCTGCTGAACAAAAGTGTTTCATGAATCCTGTCTATCACAGGGCTAGAAGCAGATGAGTTGTTAGGTAAATTCTAATGAATTTCACACTTTTATCTGTTAAGTGTATGGATGAGAGGATATATTAGGATACATTAGGTCCTCAAGCAGGAGTCAAGTGGTAGACTCTGCTCCTAACTTGACAGATTTCTTGCATAACCCTGGACAAGATATTTACTCCGTGACACGTTCAGATAAAACACTTCACCAGCTGACAGAGAGGTTAATAATAAAACACATGGCGACTGAGAGGTGCGAAGGACAGAGGTGTGGAGCAGGTAACTGCCTAGACAATGTGATTACTGAGAAGCTCTACTTAACAGGATTGTACTTGCTAAGTTCAACTGTTGATTCAAAAGCAAATGTTCAATGTCTCTTAATTATTTTCTAATTATTTGCTATTAAATAACCCAATCTACAAGTGGGTTCATGTTCAAAAGCACAAAATGGCAATACCCACATTCGAGAGAGCGGAACAAGCTTGCTCTTCTCTGGCAGAGACGATTCCTACTGCTAGTTATTGCTTTAAAAATTCTTTCTGAATAGAGTTAATCTTGCTTGAAGTAGTGTTTTTATGAAGCAAGCTTACACGTAGCATTTTTATGAAGCACCTTTTATGGCAAGTAAACTGTGTTGTAGATAGAGTTCCTGTAAGCCCCAAAATACTCCTGTTTTCCCTATGTCTTGCTAACCCAAGTAATGTTTGGATCTGTAACTTCCGTAAGTGCTTCCTCCCTAATAACAGTATCAGCAGTGAAACTTGTAATGTCAAACAGACACTTCTAAGGCTTATATTTTCAGGATGTCTGTTAGTCAATCCTAAACAGTGTGTACTGCTCATAGGGAAAGCAAGCCGTAAGATTCACCTCCCAAAAGAGCTGTTACTGAAGTTGTCTATTACATCCCTCAGACAGTAGTGTGGAGATCCTGGTATGATCTCTTTGCTTAGAGAGCAAAGAGCCAAAGTAACTGATGGAAAATGCCAAAATTAAAACAGTTATGAATATAGTGGCAAGGTCCATCAGTGAACATGTATTACTGCATTTAGAAATGTGGCCAGCATTATTTGCTGGTGTGACAATCAAAGGTTATTGCTCTTTTTTCCCCTTCTCCCTGCCCCTTCCCTGCTTTTTATCCTGATTTAATAGTTTTCCTCTAGTGAGCTCACCTATTTAATAAATCCCAAGATAAGGCTCCTGTTAAATAAGGGAAATGTATATGTGTGTATTACACATGGCACTTAACCAGAATGCAGTCAAAGACATGTTTTGCACTGATCAAGCTGGAACTGGCAAATTGCCCTTTAATAACCAGACAAATGTTTCTCTAGATAGACAAGAATCCACAGGTGGTAAGACAGTGTGGCTGGCTCCACTTGGCTCCCCACTGGAAGTGGACAACTGTGTAGGAGAATGCTAACTGTGGAGAAGACTCTTGAGCCTGCCATCAGCAGGGCTCTCCCACGTTCTGCAGCTGATGCATAGCAAAGTGCAGTCAACACAGATTCTCCACATAACTCCTGGGTTGCTGCATTAAGGATGAAATTAAGTAATAAGAGTTTAGCTCTACAGCACACAAACTCAGAACTTAAGTTTTCGCCTTTGTGTGCTAGGGTGTCTTGCCTTCTAAAGCAAGTACATGAGTTTTTTTGAGTGGGGCTTCCAGTAGACCACTGTGCCCAACAGCCTCAGGTAATTTGGAGCCGATAGTTCAGTTTTTTTAGCTGAAATACACCTTCAGTTACACCTGAATATTATTTTACCTTTATTAAGATGTTGCTAATTGCAGGAGGCATTTACTATGCCTTCTCGGTCTTGGAGCCATTCTTGTTATTGGAACTTTGGCTTGTCTCTGTTGTTCTTTCTAGGGGGGAAGTTGTCTTTTTTTTTTTTTTAAAAAAAAAAAGGCGAAGCCAAGATATTTGTTTACCTAACATATATTTGCTACTTTTATGAAATATATCTATGTACTGCATTGGTAGGTGCCCTTCACTGCAAATATCTTTGATATAGTTTTCTAAAGATGAAAAAATGACAGCCTAAGCCTCCCTCCATATTCTTTCTCTCTTTAGCCATTATTTCAGTGTGTCAGCAAACCAAACCTGAGGATATGTCATAGCAGTGACTTTAACACATCTTATTCTGCCTACAAATTCATTAGCTGAGATGCCCAGCCTTGTGTGGCAGTAGACCTTTGGCTCAGGCAGGGTCACTGTGCACAGAAGAATGCAGTTTCTGGAGTAGCTTACACAGCCCTGCTGAATATGTTGCAATAGCTGGTTGCTGCTGTGACATACAATTTAGTCTAGATCATTGCAACTCTTTTTTTTTTTAATTTTAGAGTATTGGTTAGACTAGACAAAAAGGAAGTAAATTCTAGCTTTTGCTTGTGACAACAGGGTTGAAATATCACTTGCTATTTCTGAGAAAGGAAGTTAGAGTGGGGTTTTATACTATATACTCACAAGATCTCACAAAATACTGAATGAAATGAGAAGATGTTTGATTTTTAAATGTATGATTAAAAGCCTGATGAGTGAACGGTGAATCCATACCTTAACTTCCCTGAACTTTGATTTATTCTGAAGTTTTGTTTTGTTTTGTTTGTTTTTCCCCAGTAGCTACTTACTGACTTTGCTGATGAAATTAAATTTCATTGCATAAACCAAAAATGATAGTGAATGAGAAGACTTAATGAGTTAGCATCAAAGGACAGGAACGCCTCTGTGCATCTCTGTTAGCATTCCATGTAATGGTGGCTTACCACTGTTAACTGGCAGCAAAGTTGTATTTTGTGCTTTCAGAGCACCGTGCATGCTACCTCTCCCCTCCTGTCTTGCAGAGATACTGAGGTAAATTCTTATTGTCTACCCTCAGTCTTGTAAGTGAGCACAAAGTAATGATCAGGTAGAAAGCTATCAATCATTATAATGCAAAAGTTGTATAAAGACCATAAAGAAAGCTTTTCCTCTGTCCTTTATTTTAGTAATTCAAAGGACAGAAAAAGAAATTTGTTTTTCTTCACAGCAGTGTATTTCTGTATTCGTGTGAATACAAACATTATATTGTTTGATTCTGTGCATTTTGCAATGAGTACAGCCAAACGAGAAGCTGGGGACACAAGGATTTCTGGTTTCTGGGTTGCTCTGGATGCCATAAGCATGAATTAGACAAGCTCCTGAAGGGCTCTGCCCAGCTATAGGGACTATTTCAGCTGCCAGGAGCATTCCTGTGCTACCCTAGGCCACAGTATTTTGGGTTTTCTGCCTCTTATACCTGTTACAGAGCTGGAAGGAAAGAATCAAGCTCATTGTATAAAGCTGTTGCATCCTGTCTGAAAAGCTGATGCAGTGTGAATACAGCAGTGAGCAGGGAATCTTGCAGTGGCATATGGATTGATTTTCCTTCAATCCAGCATTGAAGTAAAGGCTGCAGAGGATTCAGTGTAAAGTTCATGAAGCTCTTAGCTATTGGGGTAGAAGTATTTACGAGTTGAAGTGTGTGCGTTTAGAAGATCAGGTAGCTTGCAGCTGTGGATGCTACTAGTCTATGCACTGGAAAAGCTTAATATCATTAAAAGAGCTGCCCTTGGCATTTGTTCTGCTGTATTTATCACTTACTGCTCTGAATCTAGAGCATATGCCTAATTCAGTGCACCACTCGATTTCTGATGTGCACAGATAAGCATCCATAAAATAGATCTGAGATAGATATTTTGTGGATATTTGAGAGACAGTGGAAAGAAAGAGAAGCAATGCAGGAAGATGATGGAGGCAGTGTGGCTTAGGGAAATTGGTGCTGGTGAGACATGATTTGAAGGGCAATGGGAACTCCTTCAAGCTCTAAGTTGTACACAGAATCATAGAATCGTTTAGGTTGGAAGAGACCTTGAAGATCATCAAGTC